CTTGCCCCTTCCTTTTCCCTTTTCTTGTCTGTGAATGTTATCTTCTGGGTCTTCTGGTGTGGAACCGTAACGTTTAGTGGTTGTCTAAGTTGGGGATTTGTAACGCTTCTCCAAACCTTTTTCCTCAGCCTGTATGGTCATCATAAGTCTACAAGCTATCTCCAGTCCCTGCCTCTTTTTGTCTCTTCTACATTTCTGCTTCAGTTGTACACAGTTCTTTCCTAGAGCTGCCATGTACTAAAATCTGCTACAAGCTAGGCAGGGTTGACCCACGCAGCTGTGTCTCTCTTGGGGCCCTGGTAGGAGTCTGTAGGGCACAGTACATCCTTGGCATTTGCTTTGGGATGAGAGCAAATCATGAGTCACAGGATGTTCTGCTCTCAGTTCAAGATATCTCCAAGCCATTTACTATTGAGACTTGTTCTCATGGGCTTAGAGCTAGAAACAAAGTAGTGAATATATTTTTCCCTGAACTGGGGCTGTCTCTCCTGGCCCTTTTCCCCAGGCTGGTGGAGAGGTTGGCTCATTCTTATGCAGTGTCAGTATTGTTGGCTTAGGTTTGGTGTGTCTTTGAAGCTGAGTTTTTCAGTTCTGGAAATCAGCCTTGCCACCATATATGACTGCTCTACACCCCTGATTGGAGCAAAAAAAAAAAAAAAAATGGCATCCTTTTGTCTTCCTGAAACTTGCCATGGGCTTGACAAATATTTATTTTTACCTTGTCTGTCATTTGTGAGGTTGGCAGCCTAGAGGTAGGATGTGGAAAGGAGTCATAAATTATGAGTGGGATGTCCGGAATGGGCCTATTTTAACTCTGAATTGCTACTTTTCCTTTTCCCTCTTATTCTTCCCCTGCCACCCCCAACCCATGTCCAATCTGCACTTCCTGGTGAGCTTAGTATGGGGAGAGTAGAGGTCGGGACTGTCTCTTGTATTTTTGCTTCTCTTCATGGGAGAAGCAGTATCTTCTCCCATCCCCACTTTCCATTTTTTCCTTGCTTCTATTTTTAGTGCCTGTTTTCCCTCTGGGCCCGTCTTGCTGGAACTTGGCCTGGCCCTACTGAAATTTGTTTCCATGCTGCTATTAAAAGACAATGCACGGTTAAGAGGATTTGTAGACAAGTGGGATTTGGGCAGCTTTTGTGCTTCTTTGAGACTTTCAGCTTCTGTGTCAGGCTTGTTTTGAATGGAGGCACAGAATCAGTTTTAGTTCTGTCTTCTGTAAATATTGTTGGATCATGGACTTTGAGCTGGAAGGAACATTAGAGGAGACTTTGTGACGTTGGGCAACTTTGGGACTCACTTTCAGACCCTCAGTCTCCTTGTCTGTAAATGAGGGGATTGAACCACTAAGGTTATTTCCACGTGGAAATCGATGTGATCTAGGCCAGCCCTCTCATTTCCTAGGTGGAGGGATTCAGGGCGTGGAGGGGTAAGTGACTTGCCCAGAATCAAAAAAGTTATGGATGGCAGAACTGGGATTCAAACCCCCAGATCCAGCACGATCCCATGTTGCCTTCCAAATCCTGATAGCACTAGATTTGTTATTAGGGAGTCACCATAATACTTAGCATACAGTAAACGCGCTTAGTATATATGAAGCTTAACATCCAAAAAAACCAAGATCTTGGCAGCTGGTCCCATCACTTCCTGGCAAATGGAGGGAGAAGAAATGGAAGCAGTGTCAGATTTTATAGTCTTGGGCTCAAAGATAACTGCAGACAGCAACTGCAGCCATGAAATTGAAAGATGCTTGCTCTTTGGACGGAAAGCTATGGCAAATCTGGACAGTGTACTAAAAAGCGGAGACATCGTCTTGTTGACAGAGGTCCATGTAGTCAAAGCCATGTTTTTTTCCAGTAGCAATGTATGCCTGTGAGAGCTGGACTATAAGGAAAGCTGAGCGCTGCAGAATCGACACTTTTGAGTTGTGGTGCTGGAGAAGACTTTTGAGAGTCCCTTGGACAGCAAGGAGAGCAAATCAGTCAGTACTTAAAGAAATTAATTCAGACTATTCACTGGAAAGTCAATTACTGAAGCTTAAATACTTTAACCACATAATGAGAAGATGGACTTATTGGGAAAAACACTCTGATGTTGGGAAAGATTAAAAGCAAAAGGAAAAAGGGATGGCAGAGGACGAAATGGATAGATGGTATCATGGAAACCATGAATAGGGGCTTGGACAGGCTTTGAGAGATAGTGGAGGATGAAAGGGCCTGGCATGCTACGGCCCATGGAATCACAAAGAGTCAGATACGACTGCACAAAGCAACAACAAATGCTTGTTGGTTGGTTTGTCCGTTTTGGCTATCTTTCACCTCAGTAGATGAATACACTTGGTAGCAGTCTGATCATCCTTGACTTTGTCACTTTCATTTGTTGCTTGGCTTGGCATTCTCTTCCTCTACGGTTGAGCCACTTCCTGAGATAGCGAAGGGACCACTGGGTGAGAGTAACTGTCTTGACTATGGGATCAGCATTTTTTAAAGAGAAGGCTTTTAGATAGGAAAGTGTCTGCCTCTGTTTAGGAATCAGAATTCAGATTTCAGATCTGGGCACTCTGCAAAGTGAGCTTGAGGTCCTGTGACCAGAGACAGTACTGACCACAGATGGGATTTGGCTGAATTGGATACCGATATTCAGACTGGTCCTGGGTTGCCGAGGAGACCGAATAACTTTTTTTCCCCGCTCCAGAAGTGGGGGATCAGGCCAGGTTTGAGGTTGCTGGCAGGGTCTACACTCAGTTGTCTGTGATGAAAACCTTGCTCATCCCCAAACCCACCACTGCAGTTTGCAGTGATGCTTTTTTGTGTGTGTGGGCTGTGATGGTTTCAGCATTGGGGCCAGGTTCTAATCAAGATAGAGCACCATCGTTAAGCTTTGTTCAAAGTCTTTAGCGAAGGAAACTGAGCTAAACAGAACATTTTCTCCAACTCTCTAGTTATTCTCTTTCTTCTGGTTGTTTTATTTTAAATTTAATATTGGAGTGAAAAATTGGAAACCCCAGATTTAGGGGAAGGAAAGAATCTGGGGTGCAGGGGTGAGGCTGTGTGATCTATCCAAAGTGGTCCCAGCTGCTTTTGGTTTCTTGGGGGAGGGGGGCAGCAGCAGGGAGAGGAGAATAATGCAGGCCCTCCTCCATTATACTATGCAGGCTAAGCTGCTGTCATTAGTGGTTAAATGCTTCTTAAACTCTTCTCTCTTGCCTTTGACCACACACCCTTTCGTGGAAGGGAGAAGAGTCTGAGAGTGAGACCGGTAATGGGCCCCACCCAGTTGTCATGCCCAGCTGCCCTGGTAGGGGACAAGGAGTCCAGGCAACTGGAAGTAATTATAGGCTTCTCCAAGCCCATGGGTGTGACAGGGCTGATGGGGCAGGCAGGGTCTCTATTGCCTCTGCCTCTCTTCTCTGCCCTAGCCTTCTTAGCCTTTTTCTGAGGGCTGCATGCAGGATGAATAATTGGAGTGGGTTTTGCCCTTTTAAGGGGATTCTTGGCTGGAATAAACCCAGTAGCAACTAACTTGGTTTCCTCCAGCCATCCGCCCCCCGCCCTGCTGTAGATGTTAAAGACAAAGCTTTCATTTTGAAATGCCTTTCTCAATGTTTGTGCCTGGCTGAAGGTGTGCTGAAAGGCTCAGTGATGTTAAACATTTCTTCCTGTGAGGGTGGGGAGGGACTTGGAGCTTTTTATTTTGTTTGACTGAGGTGCCTTGGCAACTTTGACATATGGAATTTAGGAAAGAAAATTGAGTTAAAAAGAGTCCACCTTTAAAGTTTAATTTCCACAAATCAGACTTGTCCCTTACTCATTTTCAACAATATTGTCTTTTGTAAGCATTCGGGACATTCTTCTGTTCAACTCTGGGCCAAGAAAGCCTATTTCTTCATGGTATTCTCATTAAACAAGATGGTTCATGTGAAGATGTTAAGTTCCTTTTTTATATCTTCTCCCTAGTTTGAAAAAAAAAAAAATCCAAAGTTTCACCAGTACTTTTCAGCTATTGGTGGTTCTTTGTAATCCCAGTTGAGGGTCCTTTTCTCAGAGAAACTTGGGTAGATACCTTATTTAATACAATTTTATGTGCTGGGCTAAGGATGAGAAAATTTGAGTTCGGCCTTTGAACAACTCCATTATGAGCTTTTCTTGTCAGAGGGGGCAAGCAGGCCATCCTCTGAATCTGGAAAATGGGTGTCTTGGTCACCAAGAGGTATTTGTAAAACATCTCAATATTGAAAATAAATACCATGAACGAAGTCAGCTTAGATGTTCTGTAAAATAGTTGAACCATGAGGTTAGATATTCTCAGTGTGTGCACGTGGGACAACTAGAAATGGTACAACTTCATCTTTCTCTATTCTCTGAGGGATTCTACTGATGGATCCTTCTGTTTTCTTTAGTACAGTGGGCAATTTCTTTTAGTTAATATTTCTGTACTAAACATAGAATTGGTCTTATAGCATTTACTTCTCATAGCTCTTTGGCTTCCTATCTGCTAGGAAGCACCTATAAGGAAATAGTGTGTCTGTTGATAGATAATTGATTTGCCCCTAGTTTAGTGCTCCTTCTCTCACTGCCAGAATGAGAGACCTAGAAGTTGGAGAACTAAGATCTTCACACGGCCTCTAGGTCAGCGAGGCTTCTTGATTAATAGCTCGGCCCATCAAACACAATGTTGTGTTCTGACTATGATATCTATGAGCTCTCCGTCAAGGGAATAATTCACTTTGGTTTTGGTGACTGAAGCAAAGGATTTAAAAAATATATGTGTAGATTTGATCTAACTAGAATATTGATTGATAAAGAAACTCCTCTGTGTTTCCTTTTGTGAATTGTCATAGTAGTCTGCAGGTATCACTGAGAGTCTTGATTCAAAAGGCCTTTGATAAAAGCACATGGTTATAATAAATGGGGTAAGGAAAAGAAAGCAGTTTCTTCCAGTGGGAGATACCTTTTTCTCATAATGACTCACATCTCTTTTATACTTTGATTCCCAAGGACACACAGACATACTGTTGGACCAACCAGAGCCACGGCAAATGTTGAACAGAGCCCTAATAGCAGGAATCGGCACCGGCAACCGGCCAAGAGTCAGAACCATAGTGGCTTGGCTAATGGAACAAGTGAGTTGCAGCATATAATAATTTACATTGACTTAGGGGGGCAACCTTAATTGAGATGAGGAATGTTATGTGAGAGTTGTTTTAGGATGTGCTTAGGAGTCTAGCTTTGGCATGAACCAGTGATAAAAAAAAATGATGAAACAGAATTATTGAATAATTCAGGGTAAGAAGGTGATCTGGTGCTGAAGGAGAAAGATGAAACAATACATTCTTCTCTTGACTTGCCTTCTTTCCAATTCTTACTCTTCCTAGGACTTACCTGTGACAAATGGCTTTCTTTGCTGTTTCATTTCATCATTAAGATACCAGTCAAAGGAGGTTTTCCTTTGTACAGAAACATAAAGATTTAATTTTTCTAGTAATTTATACCTTCTTGTCATATTTTTTGCTTGGGAGTAACCTTTTAATAGCTATCCCAAATTTTCTTAAATTGAATGGAAATCACCAGTTTTAGAATAAGGACTAAGTAATATTCAACTCAAGAAACATTTATTATGTAATGAATGTACTATTTATAAGGTACTTTTTTGGGCTCTGGGACTACAAAGATATAAATAAAACCATCTCTCCCATTAAGAAATTAATTTCCTATTTGCATGCCAGGCTCATGAGTTTATCTTTGCTTAAAATGATGGATTGGAGAAGATATCTGGGCTATTGAAATGGTTCAGGGAAGACCAGTTTGCATTGGATTCTTGATAACCCATTTTCAGAGAACTGAATTTTTCCTATTTGCACAAATCCTTATTACTACAAGCAGAGAAAACTTGGATTCTACCTTTAGGCATAGCCAGTTGCAAGTGGTAAGAGACCTAAGCAAATGCAAATTAATTTTTGCTCTTTCCTTATCCTTGGTTTTATTGTGACAGTAAAGCATTTGGCAGAATTCCTCCTGCTGTTCTTGTGGAAAAGATGGATGGGAGGGAGACGGGCTGGAAGACACATCATTGGGGCGAATTCAGAACAGGATGCTTAGTGGAGTTCAGCTAGAGTAGGTTTGTTCTTGTGAAGACCTCTCTAGTGGAACGCCACGGGTGTTAGCCCTGTGCTGGGCTTGACTCTGTGCTGTTTAACATTTGATCATTGATAAAGGCTTATTGAACTTTGAGATGTCCCAAAGCTGGGTGGGAGAGCTAACATTGGATGACAGGATCAGGATTCAGAAAGACCTTAATAGGCCAGAACACTGGGCTCTGTCTGTTAGAGGAGAAATGTAAAGTATTACCCTTTGGTTCTGAAAGTCAGCTTTACAGGTACAAGGTGAAGGACCAGGAAGCAGTTCATCTGGAGAAGATGTGGGTGTTTTGTTGCAGGATTAATAAGATGTTCAGTACAGTATTCCCACTGTGCTCCTCTGTGATCAGATCCCATGTGGAATGTTCAGTTCTAGGTCTCAAGTTTTGAGAAAAACCTTAATAGTCTAGAGAGTGTCCAGAGGAGAGCAGCCAGAATTGTGGAGGGCCTTGAATTCGTGTTGTATGAGGATCAGTTGAAGACATCGAGAATGTTTAGCTCAGAGAAGAGAAGACATGATAGATGTTTTCAGTTATTTGGATTAGGTTTCTTCCATTTGGCTCCACCATAGGTTTCTCTCCCCATCCACCTTCTCTGCTTCTACTGGAGGGCTGATAAAAACTACGAGGTGAGTTACACATCTATGCTGACTGGGTCCACTACACGTTTAAGTTATTTGATCTTGGTTGGGCTCTCAGTGCCTCACAGTAATCTTCATAGACTTTCCAAGTTGACTCTATGTTAACGGTCCCCAGAGTGGCTATTTCAGTTTTATCTTCTGTCCTTGATCATTTTGTACCACTCCTCCCCTTTCCTTTTCACCAAGAGACACTCGTTTTCTCACAGAGGAAGTAGAGGCTGTGTTTTTTGGACAGTGTCTTCTTCCCTCAAAACTTCTCTGTGCCTTCCCTCATTCTGTCTTCCTCTGCTGTTAATTCTGAAGAAGAGATGGGTCTTCTTGTCAAGACCAAGTCCATCTGCCTTGGCCCCTCTAGAAATCTCCGTCACTCATTCTTTCCTCCTCCCCCCATCTTCCTTCACTCCCTATCTACCTGCTCTTTCTGTCTTTGTCTCTTTCTCTCTTTCTCTCTCTCCTCATTCCAGTGTTGTCAAAAATATCTTCCTAGAGCACAGGTCTGACTGTGTCACTCTTATGGTAAAGTTTGTTATGGTTTCCTATTGCTTCTCAGATAAAATACAAATTCTTTAACTTGGCATTTAAAGTCCTTCATGTTTAAAGCCTGGCTCCAGCTTACTTTTCCAGACTTATTTGGCATTATTGACCTGCTCTCCTATGTTCCTGCCAAACTGGCCTAGATTTTGTGTTTGCTATTCCCTGAAATTGGCATTCCATCTTCCACCCCTCTACCATTGTGGCTGTGGGCTTCTTATCTGCAATGTTCTCCCTTATCACCTCTGCCTCTTGTAATCCAATCTTTAGATTCTTTTAAGGGAGACATCTTTTATGGGAAGCTAATGATTCCTTAGTTGACAATTCCAATGCCCTTTTCTTTATCCTCATTCTCCTTGACCTCTCTGTAGCCTTTGGCACTGTTGGTCATTCTCTCCTTTTTGACATCCTCTTCTCTCTAGGTCTTTGGGACACCCCTCTCTGTTGGTTTTCTTCCTACCTAGCTGAAGCTCCTTCTCTGTTTCTTTGCTGGATCCTCCACCAGATAATGGTCTCTTAACCATAGGTGACCCCCAGGGCTCTGTCCTGGCTTCTCTTCTGTGGTGATCTCATTAGCTCCAATGGATTTAATTATCATCTCTATGAAATGATTCTCAAATCTACCTTTCCTGGACCTACAATTCTCTCCAGCTGCCTTTCAGACATTTTGAACTAAGTGAAGACATCTTAAACTCAATATGTCCAAAATGGAATTCACTATCTTTTTTCCTAAACCCTTTCCCTATCCTGTCTTCTCTATTACTGGAGAGGGCAACCTAGGAGTCATCATGGATTCCTTATTCTCTTTTACGCCCCCACCCCCACCGCTCCACTCCCCCTCCAAGGCCTGTTGATCTCACCTTTGCAACATTCCTTGAATATGCCCCCTTCTCTCCTCCTGTATTGCCACCACTCTAGTGCAGGCCTTTATCACCTGACTCCTGGATTATTACAATAGCCTGCTAGTGGGTCTGTCTGCCTCAGGTCTCTCTCCACTCCAATCCATCTTCCATTCAGTCAGTAAAGCGATTTTCCTAAAGCACAGCTCTGACTGTGTCAATCCCCTACTTACATAAACTTTGGGTGGCTTCCTGTTGGCTCTAGGATCAAATACAAAATATTCTGTTTGGCATTCAAAGCACTTACTTTATTTATTTATTTGTTTATTTATTTATTTAGGTGAGCCATTCAGGGTTAAATGACTTGCCCAGGGTCACACAGCTAGTAAGTGTCAAGTGTCTGAGGCCAGATTTGAACTCAGGTCCTCCTGACTCCAAGGTTATAGCTCTATCCACTGCGCCACCTACCTACCCCCAAAGCACTTAGCCCCCTCCTACCTTTCTAATCTTCTTATACCTTGATTGATTCTAAGTAGCTCTGTCTTCCTCTCCAAATCATCATGCATTTACTTACTTGTTTCTTATTGTATCCCCTATAGGATATAAACCCCTTGAAGGCAAGAATTGTTTTAATCTTTGTACCTACAATGCCTTGTATTTATTGAATGCTGAATCATTGCAGGCATTCCATACACATGATGCATGCACTGTGTGAAACTAGACTAAAAGTTATTGTCCTTGCCCTAAGAAATATTACAGTATGATAGATGAGACCACCGATAACTGCTTTTGAAAAGTTCCAAGGTGCTTCGTGTTAGTGCTTTGACTGCTCCAACTGACATTGTCCCCTAAAAATCAGCAGCTAGAAAAGGGACCTATTTTTCCCTCCCTCCTATCCTCTTTTCTTTCTGTCATTCCATGGTTCCTTTTTCTTTCTCCTCTTCTCTCACAGTCCACCCAATAGAAAGATAGGATTTTCCTTGAAATCACTAACTTTTTATGGTCTCCCTACTAACCTATGTATAGGTTGCTTTTGTATCCGAAGAGTAATAGTTGCATTGCTCCTCCTTCTCCTTCTCTTTCTCCTCTTCATCTCCTCCATCTCCATCTCCTTCTTCTCTCTCTCTTTGTCCTCCTTGTCCTCCTCCTTCTCCTTTTCCTCCTTTTTTTTTTTTTTCTGGTGGCAAGTGCTTTGGGAAGATAGTTTTCTCATGGTAGCTTGCGAATAGAAAAGATTTGAAGAGATACACATAGGGGGCGCTCATCTGAGCCAATGTGCTGAAGATTGAGCTGGGAAGGAAGACTCCTAGAGTAAAGTGGTATTTCCACACCTCCAGGAAATATTTCCCGCTGTGAAGATACCACATGCAGAAGATATTTTTTAAGGGAACCTTTTTCACTGAATTATACACATGGGAAAACATTTTGAAAGAGAAAATGGAGCAGAATTTCAGGTGCTTGTCATCTTGTCACAGCCAACAAGTAAACTTTCCTACAAAAGGAAAGAGAATTAGATAGATGGCTTGTATGAATACACAGTATCTAAAGAAGGGGATTTTAAGTCTTTGAGGCCATTTGATAGGGAAAAATAATATAATGGTATACTGTTTCATTGAAGACCTGAATTGCATGATTTTCAAGGTTGTTACAAAAAATGCTACCTGAACTTTGAATGAGAGAAACCCTTGTTCTTCAATGACTTGCATTACCCTGGTTCACACTGCATTAATTGTACTTCAGTCTAAAAACTGCAGATGGTAACTACCCTCTGTGTGTGTGCTCCTGAAAAGACCACTGTTTGATCAGCCGTTGAAGCGCTGCATACACGTTAAGACCCAGGCTTACACAGAGAATTGGCAGGGTATCCAGGATCTGGAAAAAAGTTTCCAATTCCCATTCCCCTTTGCTAACCATTTGAGTATGTCCTCTTACTGAATGAACATTCTGATTCATAAAAACTACAAGGTTTACTAATG